CCCCAAAACCCCAAAACCCCTTAAGCCCGATTGCTTTATACAATGATCATTTATCAAATAATATCAAACTTAGTATTCTTAATAAACCCATTTTAATGGTCACAAAAGCTTAGTTAAGAACTTGAGAAATTCTATCTTAGCATCATGCTGAGTCATTTCGTTAATAAGTCTCACAATATCCAAAGAAGTTTCTCTAGACTTGAGTTTAGAAAGGGCAACCTCTACATTGAAATTGTTGATCACCAATATTTTCAGAGCTATTTCTTCTTTCATACCAGTGCATTTAGGCCAAATAACAGCCACCTCCCTTAAGTATTCATCGACTACGTGAGGTTGAAGTTTGTTAGGATCCCATGCTAACTCTCCCTTGAATTTCTTTTTCTCTTCAGCCTCGTAGTTATAGCTCCACTGGCCTTTCACATCTTTGAATACTGGATACTTTGTTGCAAGCCTGTTCTAATTTATTTACTTTTCAATCAGAGATTCATTTCTGGATGCCATGTAAATAGAATTCGGGTCAAGGGTTTGTATCTTAGTCTACTACTCTAGCTTGGTTTATTAATTTGGGAATTGCAGTGAGTCATTGTCATTTGAACTAGACCTTCTTAAGTCCATAGTCTCATCCTCCATAGCACTTTCATTCTGGTATCTCATATCAATTTCCTTAAGCCAATCCTCAATGAGTTTGTTCTCGTAGTTATCAGTCTTCTTTGCCTCTACAATACATTCTTATACTGTTGCCTCTGTATCCCTTTCATTTCGAGAGTCAAGATTAAAATCTAATGAAATCTCAGATTGATTGTCATCTAATGCTTAGTCCTCTAATTATTCTGCCTTCACCAAGTATTAAGGTTCCTTTTTAACTTAAAATAATTGAGTCTGAGTGGAAAATTTGTTATTAGTAAAGACTGTAGGCTCAAAATTAATGTCTAGCTGGTCTTCCACATATTCTTGTTTGATTTTGACAATTTAATCAAGATTTTACTATCCTTAGCCTCATGACTATCTATTACCAAAAGTAAACTCACTGAATCTCTCCACATTATTAGAGGACTAATCATCTTATTCCATACTGTGCCTTTGCCTTTTGTTAGAGTTAAAACTTATAAAACTCTCATCTTCATTATTGTTTTTAAATACTTGATCATCACTATGCTTGTGTGGTCTTTTTCCCAGTTGAGTTTTCTGAAAATCCATAACCAAGATTAAATCTATCAATAAAACCAAATAATAATTTATATAAATTTCAGTCTAAGAGTATCAGAGTCTCATGGGGTTTTGGGGTTTTGGGGTTTTGGGG